TGGGCATTGTATAATCTTGGCCTGCTTTGCAAAGACGAAGGTGTTGAATGCATCACCATTGGAGGATGCCACACTCCTTTAAGAGACCGTACCAAGCTTTGCTTCAACATGCTTTTATCTCCTATGAATATAGTTTCCACATGTTGTAGTTTTGAGGTAGATGCAATAAAACTTGAGTTTTGCCTTCATTTCGTAAGTTGGTTTTCAAAGCATGGGTTGTGTCTACTTACTGTCAGTGAAAATGAAATCCTGGAATGATTCTAGTTGTCTTGTAACCCCCTTTACCTTCAGTTCACAGAAAGTGCACTAAAGAAAATTTGGATTTGTTAATATTATTAATCTCGGGGGGGGGGGGGGGGGGGGGGGGGGGGTCAAAAATAAATTTTATTAAATGAGGAGTCAATAGCTTGTAGATTTACATATAGGTCCATAATCACATGTTTCAATTTAGAAAATTTAAAGACATTCAGGATTAGGTTCATATTATTATTTTTTCAATGTATAATATTGAGAATACAAATTAAATTTTTAATATTTAAAGGTAAAAATTAAAAATCAAATTTTTGTTGAATTACCTAGAAATTAGCCTAGTTTTCATACGTTTTAGGAAACAAAACCCTAAAAAGGGCAACGGTCGTGGAAATCTGCGACGGCAAGATACAAGAAGAAAGCGCAAGAAAACGAAAGATAGAAAACAAAACGCCGTCTCTATCTGTCCTCATTACTGAGCGAAAAAACCAAAGCTCGGCGTTAAGAATGGAAGAAGAAAAAGAAAATAATGATCAAATCCTCAAAACTCTAATTCACCTTGAAATTCTCCAGTCTGCAACAACATTGTACCAAGATTCTCAATGGAATCGACTTCTTCAACATCAAGGTTTCGATTCAGAGATCATAACGAAGAAACGGCCGACGGAGACTTGACGAATGGCCGGATCAGTTCGGACTCTTCGTCGGTTTCCAGTGACGGTGACGTCGAGTCCGAGATCGAGTCAATGACCGGGAAGGTATAGGTTTTGAGTTGTCTTTATTTACGTGGTCATTGTTACATACTCTGCTGATTTTCTATGGCGAGCTAGGGTTTTATGCTTCATTATGTGTTCATGAGCGCTTTTCTATGTTTTGCTGCTTTGTAGGGTATTAAGCATCTTTGTTCAGAACTTCTTGAGCTAAAGAGGGAGTCAGATGAGGATTTTCAGAAAAGCATCTTTTCCAATTATTCAGCCTTCCTTGGGTAACTTTTAACTTGACGCCTGAGACCATAGTAGATATCTATGAATATTCATATGCAACTATATATACACACATGTATATACACGTATCTGTGTAATTAAATTGTTATTATACCAATACGGTGGGTTGAGTTTGACATCCTTTGGCTAAATGGCTTATACCGTCTTTAATGTTAGTAGGAGATTGCAAAGGCCTTAATCGGGATTGGTAGTATTGGCAGGGATTTAAATTTATTATTTCTTTGCTCAATATCACCCCTTTTGGAGGTGCTATTTTTTAGGACTGCAAATTTGAGCCGAAGTCAATTGAATCCGTTTTGACTGTGACTGGTGTAAAAATGCAGAGTATTTCGATCTTTTTTGAAAAAGAAATTCCAGTTATACTTAGGATGACTTTGGTGTTCAACAGGGATACCCACTGAGTAATGGATTTACTAGGAGGAGTTTGGTATAAAGGCTAGTTTTTTTTTTTTTTGTTTGGAGAAGGTATAAAGGCTAGTTGAGTTGATCTAAACATTCAATATAACTTTTTTGCCTCTTCTAGTTAACTAATATATGAAGCGGAAGGTGTGATGAAATATGTTTATGACTATGGTTTTGTTCTTATACCTGGGTTTTCCAAATTATTTAAATATGCATGTATTCTCAGAATATTTGAAGAGATGCAAGGCATGGAAAATGAACTGATGCAATTGAAACACCATGTTTCTACACAAAAAAGGCTCGTGAAAGACCTCACAGATGGTATCTATATGATGGTTATAGCAGATGAGACAGTAGAATCAATGATTGGAGTGACTTTACATAAGTCATCCCCTCTGAGCCTGTTAGAGGCTCACACTGAAGATGTTTCAGAAATTTTGGATACTCTTCTGTCAGAACACAGGGTAGATGAAGTTCTTGCTTTTCTTGAGATAGAAGCGGGAACATTTCAGAGTATGCAGTTGGAAGAAAATCTTTCCTCTGATGTGTTTGTGTCTTATACCTCCATGATTTCAGAAAGGAGAGCAATGCTCGCTGACCAACTGATTAAAGTGGCTGAAAATCCTAGATTACCTCCTGCAGAATTGCAAAAGGCATTGGCTGGACTTTGCAGACTTGGCAACAATTCTCTTGCGGCTAAGTTATTGCTTAAGTACTACCATTCACGCATTTTGTCTGGTATATGTGATTTGCAGTCCTCAAAAACAAATTTTCATGGCATATACATTCGTGAAACTGCAAAATTTGTCTTTTCTATGATCTCTCAGGCAGCAAGGAGTTTTGTTGTCATATATGGAGAAACGTCTCCATATACCTCAGAACTAATGAAGTGGGCATTTGAAGAAACTGAAGTATTTTCTACTTGTTTAAACAAATATATTAAATCAATATCAGAAATTAGTGGCGGATTGTCAACAGCAGTGGAAGCTGTGCAGTTTGCAATGGCTTATTGCTCTTTGTTAGAAACCCAAAGAATTGTGTTGCAGCCATGTTTGATAAAACATATACGTGATTGTATGGAAGAGGTGCTACAGATCCATGTAGACCACTTTAAGAAAGTCATCTATATTTTTACATCGGCTGATGCTTGGGTCTTGGGCAGATATCTTGTATCAGGAATTTTTTGTGAAGGGAGGGCCTCTGTGGTTATTGGTCAACAACTAGAATATTGCATGCTGACTAACAGCGGCAGGAAGTTTGTGACACTGTTACAGGTTAGTCGGCCTTTTAACCATCGGTTTGTTTTCTTAATAAAGTTGCACAATGATAATTTAGTTATTTATGAACTTTGCTTTTACATATAGACGCGTCTTGGTGAAATCATTGTGTCTTGCTGTTATTGTGAATTGACTCGGTGTAAAGTTGGAGCAAAGATGACCTCCTTCCTTCTTAAATTGGTTATGTCTTTTTGAAATGTTGTCTTCAATAGTTTAAACGCACGGTTGTGTTTTCTTTTGTCTTTACCTGCTCTTTTCTTGTTTCAGGCTATTACAGCAGACCTTTCTCCTTTAGTTTCCCTTCAAATGGAGGGTCCAATCCTCAGAGGACTCGTCGACCTCTTCATGGAGTATATTGTCGTCCTAGAAAGAGCCCTGGCTACTGATATGATTGCCACTGAAGAAGCTGGTTCAAGAATCAATTTGGCAGAGACACTTGCACAACAAGTTTCTCTATTAGCCAACTTATCAACACTTGTGCAGTTTTTCTCTGGCATAGTGAGAAATGTCTTTAAGAACATCAATCATTTGAATTTTGAGATCGATAGTTATATACTATATATTGAAGAGGCTTGTGGTCGACTTAGAACTCATTTCTGCGAGCAATTCATACATAAAATACTGTCTTGTGAAGGTTACCATGGACTTACTGTAGAAAGTTGCATCAATAGCCAGGAGGATGGTTCTAACATGTTTGGCAATCTGGTGCCCTCTGTTTGTTATCAGGTATGCCTAAGCAGTAAAAGTCACAAACTTGTTGGAAATTAGAAGTCACTGTTGTAAACCTCTATTAGTATTCACTCTAACTTTTAAACTGTGGCCTTCTATTATGCATGGCTGACATTGAAGTTTATGTTATGGTTTCTTGGCCTGCTTACAATGTTATTCAGTTTTTGTTGCTGGGATGCACTGGAGGGATATAAGAGAGTACCACTTGAATTTGGTCTTTCTTATTTCCAAGCAAAAATTAATATTGTTTAAAGATTAATTTGTTGATAGCTTTAACCCTCTCTCACGCACTGTTCTACTTTTCTTTGGGTAACGGCACCGGGAAATCCTTGGCCTATCCCCGGCGAATAGAGGCATGCTTATGTCACTCGGGCTCGTGAGTCCGAATAGAACCAAAGGCAAACCCCATGTGAATGAACCGATCCCTCAACTTATATATCAGTTAAATCAGGACATGCACTTTGGTGGGGATTCAAATCCACACCAGAGACAAAGGTATAGTTCATCCAAGCTAATAGAGGTCCGTCCTACTAACTAACCATACTTTTTTCGCTCAGCGGACTTGGGCCTTGGCCTCCAAAGTCTTCACAAGGTAAGAGGTACCATTAGACGGGCCAAAGGCCCGTTGGTATACCATTCTACTTTGTCAGTATCTAATACTCTATATACTATTCAATCAATAGGTTACTGTGTTTTTCTCACCGTAGTTCTTGTGTCCTTGCTTTCTTTTCTTAGAACTGCAAGAATATACATGGGTTACATAATTATGGTCTTAGGGTGCTAAAGGGAGACTGTACAGTCGAAAATATCGGTCTAAGCAATGAAGAAAGAACTTTGGCCAATGACTTAATGTTGAGACTTGAGAAAACACTAGGAAAGAGAGTTTTGTGTTGCTTACCTTAAGCAGCCAAGAATGGGCTTTGACTGGCTGTAGAAGAGGGTTTTCACAGTGGCTTAAAGAGTGAAATGCAACAGTATGACCAAAAAGATGCATAAGGGAATGAGATGCAATAGTAGTATTTACAAAGGCCTCACCGTGAAAAAGGTGAACAAACATTCTCAACATGTAAGGATTGCCTACCCATGATTTGTCTTAGTTTTGTTTTTTATTTCCTTGAGTTATTGGTTCTCTACATTGGACTGGGGAACAAGGTAATGACTGAGAAAGCATATGCAATAGTCTATTTAAGTCTATTAATCAAGGCTAGTATTTTGCTGTGCTGCATATTATATAATAGCTTACACAATTCCCTTTTTGGAGTGAATTAATCAGGGATTGTTTGTAGAACTAAGGAAATTGCAAAAGCTAGTAGAAGACAATTTTGTTGTAGTAGATTGGTTGATGGATCTACTGAGGGAACTAATGGAGGCCATATTTGATTGGATCTCGAGTAACAAAGATATCTGGACAATTAGGGAAGAGCATTTGACAGATGAAGATTTTGACCATTTCATGCAGGTATATAACCTTTCTTTTGTCTGAGTGCTGTGAATAACTCTTACAGGGATATACTTCTACCATTGGAGGTTTCTTTGGTTAATTGTACATTCACTGTTGGCTTGCTCCTATTGATCTTAGGGTGGCAATTTCAACATGATATGTTTACAACACTTGAATCTGACAGAAGGTTTTGATTTAGGCTAACCGTGTTCAAGCATAAACGGATTGACAGGATCAACCCCTTCAATAAATGTGTTGTGTTTGAGATATTAGTATGAACCTATTTGACTCATTGATAATACGAACAAATATGCTCCATGACATGAATTTGACTCATGAATATCTGGAATTCACCCTACCCCTTGTTTTTATTATGTACTCAATTCTTATTTTATTCATATAATAATGCCACCTTGGCCAACCCATCTTTTTTATTTTAGGTGAAATTTGCTTAACCCTATATAATCTATTTATTAAACAGATGAAAAGTGCGGTGTTGTGCCAGGTCGTGCCATTGTTACCTAAGATACCTATAGTTTGATAGATGAACCCGTTTGACATGACACAATTGCCACCCTTGGATGCATCCAAGACTTTCTTTTATTGTTCTTTTCGCTGATCATTGCAGAGTCACCAGCGTGCATTAATGCTCAGAACTTTTTGTGGGTATTATATGTAGTTTGTTGAACAGAGCTCTTAGTATGTAGAATGATAGTGATATCTTAGAGGTTCTTCCCTGCAATTTTTCCTGGTCCTTTTAATACAAGCGACCATCGGTGTAGCCTCATACTTAATCCATAGAGGCGTTATTCCCAGTTTTCTTGGGTGCATTAGTTACAGATCTTTGGGTTCCCTGTACTTGGTGGGCACCGGCGCTCAAACTTTTTTTTTTTGTGCATTAGAATTTGCCATAAAATGCACAAGGAAGTAATTTTATTTCTGGAAAATTTTCGGATTCTTTAAGTGCAAATTCTCTTGGAAGTGTAATATGTACATCTTGAGTCCATATATTTCATGTAATTGGTAATTGCGCCCATATATTGTGCATATAGTTGTAGATGGCCTTCTTCAGCCTCTTGTCACTGAAAGCAACTCTGTTTAATAATCTTTTTTTTTTATTTTCGGAAATTCCTGAATTGATTCAGTGTGATCAAGAGGTTGGTCTGTATGTGACAGTTCAAAGCAACAAGCTGACACACATTATTCGTTAACACCGGATCGAGTAAACAATGGTCTAACTATACAATGCATTTAAGAAAGATTGGGTGTTTGTCTACTTTGTCTACTCTTTTGCTTTCTGCTGAGTAATGTTGTATATTCTAATCAGGTTTTCTGTTTCTAAAACAGCTTGTTCTGGACATGCATTTCCTGGTGGAAATTGCTAGGTGCCAAGGCTACCTAACTGACAACATGAAGAACGCCTGCAGGGTTACTGTATCTCACATGGAATCTGTCTTCACCTATGCAGGGTTGAATCCTAAAAGGTAATACTTCAACTTGTCCTCTATTTTCACCCTAAAAATTGTTCTTTTTGTAATCGGCCCAAGGAAGGCCCTTATCTTGTTCTGCAGTAAAACAGTGTCTATTGAGATACAGTGAACACAACTGAGAACATGTTTACATGCTCTGAAAAATAGTGATCCAGCAACTTCACTTTCTCAAAACGAAGACAGACAAACTCCTTTTCACTGTTTTTAGCACATGGAGAGCAAGAGACGTGATTTCCAAAAAATGTACCCAAAAAAAAATTATCTCAATCTCTCTGGAAAGATGTGTTTGTCTTCTCTTTGTTCTCATTTTTTTCCTTTTTCATCCATGCTATACTTTATTGTTCCGGCCATAAGTGGGAAGTTGCTCTAACTGCTGTATGCCATACCTTATTGAACCGAATGGAAGCCATTGAAGTTTAATGTTTTTTTCTCTTCTGCAGGGGTGTAAACAATAATGAGTGGGCTGTAAATGCTGCTACAAATGCCCTTCTAAAGCTACAAGAGATTGCAGAGACAGAACTACTTTCAGACGAAACTCCTGATGACATTGTCGAAGAAGAAATTAACGAACATCACTACCGGGGTTCAAGTGAACACTACCGGGGTGCAAGTGATGATGAAACTACTATCATAGATTCTGGTGAGTGGAAAGAAGATTCTGCAAGCATAAATGCATCAGAAGTTCTCACCAATTCAGAAACGGAGATTACAAAAACATAAGTCATTCCCCTTGATGATGTAGACGTCGAAGGGGGAGGTTGTTTCGAAGACGATAGGACGCCAGCAAGAGTTGTTGATGCCTCTTTACTAAAAGAAGTCAAAGCCGAAAATGCTGCTAATCCAGAGGAATGTACATTACAGGAAATGCAGGAATCCAAATTACAAGAGATACTGTTACTTGCAGGTAATGTTGGAGAAGCTTCCAAGCCAAGTACACCCTTAGAGAAGACGGCTAGCAATGGGCGAGATGGTAGTGAACTGGTGATACACAAGCAAGAAGAGGAAATGCAAAAACAATCAATGGGTACTCTTGTATCTGCAGAATAAATAGATGAATGATGAAGGTAGAAAAGGCAGCCTCGCATAGTATGTTTAAGGATTCAGTCCAAAGAAGACATTAGTTAGACCTTTGGTGTAACATTTGACACCCAAATTCTCTCTTTCTATTCAGTCAAGCTACTATCAATAATCCACTAGGAGGACTATATTTTCCTTCACAAAATCCAGATTATAAAACGTTTCTACGCCTACTTCGTGCAATACACGGTATCATCAAACTTCATGGTCATTTTTATGAAGTGCATTATCATTTTACTCCTACAAAATAGCACGTAGAGTATAGCCCCAAAAAAGGGCTCAATGCAATGGAGTGCACAAGAAGCATAGCTAAGTCATAAGTTTTATAGATCAAGAACAATCACAGTAGCCACGACGACCAAGAAGTACCTGATATTTAGAAAGTTTTAAGTCCATTCAGCTTATTGTCCAATAAAAATCAAAGCACAACCTAACATCAACTTTATACTCTAGATACAACCACATCGTAGCAGAGCTTTTCATCCATTATCTAACACACACAACCAAACCACTTCAGTCGTGCAAATTCCCTCGGTCACCGCATATTCTCACGGCGTCTAACATAGCGTGTCCGGTCATTGTATCTTGGCCTGTCTTTAGCTCGTTGAGGCACTGGCTCCACTCTCCTTTGTCTTTCAGGAGACCTCTGAACTATCTCTCCATTCACTAACAGCTCAGCTGGGCAAATCACGAGGGCATCAAAGATTATCAAATCATTTTATTTCATTCTAGTTTTTGTTAACATAGACAATGGGTGAACATTAGGTGTTAGACGGAGGGTGAAAAGTGTCATAAATAAAATAAGGTTATCTCATGTTTACCCACAATCAATACGATTGAAACAACTGACGAAGAACAATAATAAACTCTGAATTAATTAGAAAACACTTAAAACAAAGTTTCTTATCTTTCACCCATTTTAACGACTATTTTGTTTATCTTCTTCTTTTGTGGGCACAAAGCGTAGAGGCTAGTTGTGTGATTAATGATCCGGAATGGATTTCCAGAAATGAGAACCGTATTATTTGTGAATAGCAAGGTTTGAGGTCTGAGTGAATGCCGTAAGATAAATACAATCTCGCTGCACATGAATTCAAATATGTTGAGACAAAACCAAATAACCTTCAATTTATACAGACTAACCTCCATAGTCCTTGTTCTCGGCGTCGACATAGGAATCTGGGAGTACGAAAAGAACTCCAGGCAAACCTGTAAAAAGATGGTAATAATGTAACTACTCAAAAGCAACGTAATCCCACCACACATATACTAAATAAATATCAAGTAATGGAACCTAACACAAACCTTCAAGCTTATTTGAAGTTTCCTCATCAATCTCACATCCAAACCCAAAGTACCTCTCACAAGAGACATTGTAAATCTTTTTCTTTGCTTCCTCTTCACTGATACATCATAGTGACCATGATCAGATGCATAACTCAATTACCACCACCATTAGAGAAGTGTAAAAGGCGCAACAAAATAAAGCACAAAATCTGCCACACAAGATAGCTCACGCGCTAACAAGTTACAGATTAAAGTAATAAAAAAAACTTGCAACACTTAGATATCAAAATCCCAAAAGCCTTCTATTACATATGAAGAGACCCTTCTGTACGTAGATTGAGCAACTACTAGAATTCTCTAAATTATCTCTCTCTCTCTTTCTCTCGCTCCCCCTTCTCTAGTCTATGTCAAGGAGTTCAATTAGGGTTGTGCGGATATCCAAATCAAATGAAAGCAATTTACTTTTGCTGTTATCTCTTCTGGGAGCATGTACTTTGGTCCTTGGAAATGGAAACAACAAACGATTAGTTCTTCACCCTCAAGTCCAAAATCCCAGGCCCTCGATCCATGCTGCCAAATGCAGCAATATTGACACTGAAATCGGATAACATGAGATAACAGTTTGACTTATAATGATCACAGGGCCGTTACAATAATCACACATCCTCATAAGGTGTCAAAATCTCGGCTCATACATCAACTGACCCAGTTTCATACAGGAGAAAGACAAATTCCACTTAATTTAAACAATAACCAAACTTTTGTTCAAATGAATCCCCATCCCACCCTCACCCTGTCACACACCGAACTGAATAAACCCCAGAGCAACGGTAATTACTGAAACCGAAATAGAACTAACGAAATAAACATACACATATCTGAAAATAAAATCATCAATTTTATGTGGGTAAAGATTAATCTACCTTCCAACGACTTTAGCGAGGGTTTGAATGTAACAATCGATCATCTGTTGTTTAGTTGCGCCTTCACCACCAGGCTTATCCATAACAATGAGCCAGTGCTCGTAATCACAACCCGGAAACAACGGAGCCATTTCTGTGGGTGGGCGTTCGCTGAAATTGGACCCGGAGTTGAGCGGTGAATAAGCCGAACCCGACCGATTCACTCTGCATCTAACGGATGTCAAACGAACCGCGCAAGGATCGACGACTTGGAGCGAGTGGGAGAGCGAGACTGCAGACCGGGTGACGGTGGTGGGTCGAGCGAAACCAGGAAGTGGTGGAGGTTTGGCTATGGTGGAAGAGGAAGAGAGTAGACGTTTGGAAAGGAGTAAGTAGGACGGGGAGGCTAATCGTACAGCTAGGATTGATCGGGCCATGGTTGCTGCCATGGTTTGTGTGCGTGAGAGAGAGATAAAGAGTGAGAGAGAGAGAGAGAGAGAGACTGAGGAAGACGACGAGGGTTTTGATAGGGTTTGGGTTTGAGGCGATAAGAAAGAAAGATATTAGAATAAATTACACTTATAACCTTTAAACTATGACTCTTATGTCAATTAAGTTCTTAAACTTTTTTTTGTATTAATTGACTTGCTGAACTCATTAATTGTGACAATTAAACTCTTTTTGTCTGCATCTGTCAAATTTTTTAACGGAAAGTGACGAATTGTGCCGGTCACGTAACCCAAATGAGTTGGAGCTTGATCATTATGCATCTCCAAAGTATGACAACAATGCATAATTCTTTCTCTCACCTGGTACCACGAATTCACATAGCCCATGACAACCATTTGCGTCCTACTTTCCCTTCTCTCGAATACTTGAGTTGCGTCTTAAATTTTATTATTGACAATTTGGAGACGATATTATAGTCATAGCAAGTTTTTTGATTGATTTCTTTATTGGTATGTCAAGGATCTTGAATCATATAGGATTAATCATCATCAAAGGATCGGGAGTTTTCGGATTGAATCCGATAATATCAATTCTTATGAGAGATACTATCTTGTGTTTATCCAGTTCTTCAAGTAATATATGGTTCTTGTTGTTTAATTATTTTTTTTATCCAAATTTCCTTTTATGCATATGTATGACGATGATCGAACTACTTTATTGGTTCATTAGTTTTTCTTGAAGTTGTGTTTTATATGTTGGATCAACTATTGATTGTCTAATCCTTGTTGAAATGGACCTTTTGTTTGTCTTTTGTTTCAAATTGGGTAATGGTGATTTGTTACCATAGGAATTTGAATTGATGAACTTATTTTGGTGTCGAGAAAACAATGCAAATCCTATCTAGGCAAGTAGAATTTTGTGGGACACAAATGAAGAACGCCTCAAGGAGTGTGTTTAGTATTTTATGGCGAGGTGTTGGAAGCTGTAATAATGAAATATCGGACCACAGGTCATGCCTGTGGTTTTGGTTTCGTTGTTTTTGCTGATAATTTAAGATGTCAGTTTCACAATGTTGCTTTTAAACTAGTAATCTAAGCATTATATATGAGATTAAGTCATGTGTAGAAACAGTACAAATCTCCGGTCGGTTTCTACTCATCTTATGCATATGATTCTCGTTTTTATTGCTTGTTGTTTCGTGATATTGGATTTTAAATCCAACCTCTCTTCTATTTGCATTTGAGTCATAACTTCAGGCTCAAGTTGTTCACTTTTGAGCTTGACTTTCATCATTTTTTAGGTCGAGGCAAAAAACAGACAATTCCATGGGACGACCAGAGCACAATGAGTAGAAACAATGGTAGTATTCAACGTTCTCCAGACCCAAGCCGCAAAAGAAAGATATTTGTCGGAGGTGTAGCAACTTTTAATATTACTAGTACACTAAATACCAATGATCTTGCTTTTATTGTGTATTTTTGTATAAGACAACGCCGTGATTAAAATTATAAATGTGGTCTTGATATTCATTGGTTGTAAATGTTATTAATCGATAACTGCTCCTCGTGTAGGTTTTTCAGTCGTTAATATTATTTATGATCTCATCCGAATATTATGTATTGACCTTTCTCACCATTTTTTTTTTTGTTTTTTTGGCATATATTAGTTAATCTTAATTGTTTTTATGTAGTTACATGAGTTGTAAAAAATTTCTCTTTGTACTTTCGGCTATTGCATTCATTTCTCAATATCTTTTGTTAATTAATTTCAGTATAATATTTTGGGTGGATCAAATATATTTGTAATTAATTTTTTAAAATTGAGTAATGTTACATGGATTTAAAAAGTAGATTTAAAATCTAGATTTGATAATTACAACTGTTGATTTTACTGTGGATTCTAACATTTATTAAAACTCACTACCTATTCAAAAGTTAAGATTATCAAGTTTAGTTTTAAGTCCATCTAGCATTACTATTTAAAATTTGTTTAGAATTGAACGTAAAAAAATTTATATTTTTACAATAATTAACTAGTTATAAATTTTCAATTCAATATTAAAATGGTAACCAATAATTGTCAAGTCAAATATGAGATAAGTTTGGATAGGATTTAAAGGTAAGATGGTAAATTAATATCAAAATTGTGAGATTTGATCAAAAAATAGTTAGTTTATCCATGAGACTCACAATATCATAAATTACATCCAAATTAAGATTGGATAAATCTAAATTCCCTAATTCAACATTGTAGTCGAATTATTGAGATTTCATTGTATAGGATTGGGATTTAAATCCAAATCAATCAAATCCTTCAAAACATTGCCAAACACCCCCTATGAATATCTATATATATAAGAGACTATTTCAATATTTAGTCAAACTCTTAAAATTTAAAGTTTGTTAGTTTTTATTTTGTTTTAATTAAATATAGTTATTGAGTGTATTTTAGATAATAATGATAAAAATAGACTTATTTCAAAATAAGTCCAAATATAGGACCGACCTCCAAACTTCCCTTAATTTATTGGGCCTTTGAAGGCCGGTTCTTTTTTGTAAACTTACTAGGAGTAACCCGTGCTTGAATGCACGGTATAATATAAATCAACCAATTAATTTGAAAAAGTGATAAGTGAAGATCCCTGAGAACAGTGGCAGAGCCAAATATATGATTTGGAGTAGACACACTTTATATATAATAGATAAAAATAATGTGATATATTTATATTTTTTATATTTTTATATTAAAACATAAAAAAGGTCAATTTGAAAAAAAATAATAAGATAACATCTACATATTAAGGATTAATAATATAATTTATTTGATACAAATAAAAGTAATATTCTATAATTTTTAATTTATAAATTCTATATTTTACTCATTTTTTGCTATATATTCTATAATTTTTGAACCAAATGAGACTTCAACAAATCATACCAATACTCTAAGGAATCAATTTTAATTTGCTAATTTTAAGAGATTTGGTATGAACATTTTGTTTTTGTTTTTTTGTTCTACTACCCAACTTGTTTGATCCAATGAATTTTGTTTTTCTTAAATCATTACAGTGGATCCAACTAATCCAAAAAAAAAAAAATCAAACATATATAATAAAAAATATTTTTTTTCATGGTGCTCCAGGTCACTCTTCCCTTCTCCACAGTCAAAGAAACAGAGTGAAGAGTGAGAAGAGGAAAGTAAAATTCAATATAAATGGTATTAAGAGAAATGTTAGTAGCCGTTTGATGAGTTTATTTGAGACTGTCAGATGAACTTGTTGAACCCGCTCTGTTTTATATTGTAGAATTCACAAAACATAATAGAGTCGACTTAAAAAAAACATTAATTTATAAATATGTAATCAAAATGGAATATTAATTTATATCTATATAATTAAAATCGAGTCAAATTTAATACAAACTAAAAATCTAATATATCAAAAAAAATATCGCCAAAGTATTTTCTATCAAAAAAATATCTATAAATATTATTTTTTTAATTAGTACAAGTTATTACAAAATTATTAATTTATAAAAATATATTAGCATTGAGTTTTCTTAAGAGATAAAAAAAAATAGTCTTGAACTTTTGATTCAAGACATGTGTAGGCATGTTAGTTTGAGATAGTTAGTTAAATAAATAAAATTAAAATTATTTATATTCAATATAAATGTGTTAAACAACACCCTTCCTTTTTTTAATCTGTTAAATTGATAGTTTTTTTTAATCAAAATATTATCATTGTCTGTTATACAAATTTAAAATGTTACACTACACAGTTGATATTAATGACAAATTTGAACCATATAATTATTTTGTTAGAGAAAATATTGTGATCCAAGTCAGCCGTAATCGTTGATTGGTTGGGAGGAAAAATATTAAGAAAAAAATGTTAATTTCTTGACTGTTGAATGAATAAATTTGAGACTGTAAGATGTGTTTCAAGATCAGCTGTAATCGTTGATCAGTTGAGAGGGAAAATATTAAGGAAAAAATAGTAAATTCTTGACCGTTTGATGAATAAATTTGAGATCATAGGATAGACTTGTAGAAGTCACCCTGTTTTATATTATAAAATTATAGATTTGGACTTAAGTTCATTCAAAAAAACTTGTTTAGAAATAACTCAATCTTGATCTGTATTGTCCAAAATATCCTCAATAATTATATTTAATCAAAATCTGTTTAAAAAAACCTAACAACTCTTAAATTGAGAAATGTATTAATATTAATAACTCTTAGCTTGAGAATTGTATTATATATAATAACATTAAACAGTAATATGCTCAACAAAAAAATAGTAATATCAAAAGGTAACATACTTAACAAAAAAATAATAACATCAAATAATAACATACTTAATAAAAAAATTTAATTATTATAATAGAGCGACACCATATAGTGAATACTTATTTTGTCGTGGGCAAGACAATAATTTTAATTACTTATATATGATGTCATTCTATTGTAATGATTAAATTTTTAATTAATTATTTTATTAAGAATTGTTATATTTGAAAATATTGAAATTAACAATGATAGACAGTATTTATGGTAGAGGTAAGTAGGTATTATAAAAAAAAAATTTGAAATGTGTATTTAATGACAATAATTTGATAAAAAAAAAGATTTAATAGAATGTAACCCAGAATGTGACAATTAAAGTCAAATAAATTTTTAAAAAAATACCCACGGCTAAGTATCCGTGGACCGTTGTTTAATACCCAAACTGGGCTGCCCTTTGGTTGGGCTGGTGATAGGTTTATTCTTGAACAACCCATGAATCCATGACCCGAACCAACCCAGACATGGTCGTAGCTTAGTACTTTAACAATTGTACCCTTCAGCACAGCGGGAACGTACGAGCCACAGAGGAGGCGGGAGTTGGATTTCGGGAAAACCATGAAAAGCGCGCTAAGTTCGAATTTGGCGGCGCCACCCAAATGCAGATGTAAATGCACACAAATTTCAAGGTACTATATGGAGAGAGAGGGGGAGAGACTAGAGAGAGAAAGAGATCAAAACGTCAAATCCTGTTCATGCACATGTTATAGTTTCCTCTCATCATTCGTTTTATCTACAGTGCTCAAAGCAAATCAGGGATAACTATATGGCGGAGTCCCAAAACCTCTCTCGGTTCCTCAATCCATGGCTCCTTCATCTCCAGAAGCTAGCTCTCGAGCTCAAATGCCCCTTTTGGTACACACTCGCGTACATTTGCACAGCATGTCTGATTATCTCTATGTATAATGTATTGGATCTATCTGAGATGGGTTTGCTTTTGGGTCTTGCAGCCTCAACTTGCTGAATCGGCCTATGTTGCTCCCCTGCAATCACATTTTCTGCGAGCATGTTTCTTCTCTCACTCCTTATCTTTATATTTGATTGCTTTTGCAATTTTTTTTTTTTTACTTTTTGCTATGTAATTTGAGTTGGGTTTTTGTAATATTGTGTGATTCAGTTCATGCATACCCAGATCGACCCTCTTTGGATCTGAATGTCCTGCCTGTAAACATCAGCATGTGAACCGAGGTATGAATTTGAAAAATACCAATCTAGGTTCGCGTTCTATGTTTTACGCATGTTCATTTCAATGGAAGGCTTTCATTTTTCATATTTTACGGGATATAATTTCTTGGACCGTGGACTGCAAACCAAGAGGAGGAGAAGGGATTGAAAAGGGCAATGAAAGTAAAACATATGAATATGATATCAGATTGCAAGCAAATAACTATTGTTCTAAGTACTTCTCTTTTCTTCATTTTTTCTAGTCTGTTGTTTGGCTCCTGAGAATTTTGGAAGAGATACGACATTGAAAACCTAAATATTAGCCCTTTCATTGGCTTAACCAACACGGCTACTGAGATGTTGCTTGCATAATTTTATTATTTATCGAGGTGTTATTTTATTTATGTCATTGTAAGGGAAAGGTAAAACTCAATTACGTTTATCTGATGATAATTTTTTCATTAAGCTCGTCAAATGTCTGTAGTGTCTGATTTAATAGTTATTGCAATGCAACGGTTTATGTAACTTATAGTTGCTCTAATGTTTGCGTGATGCAGAGATAAGATCAGCACCTTATATTGAAAATATGGTAGCCATCTACCGAAGTTTGGATGCCACTTTCAGTGCTAGTATCTTTCAGCCTGTTTCTTCTGGTGAGACGATTTTTTTATCCTTGCAAATTATTTTCTTTTGTTTTTCAGTGAATATAATAGCCCATTAAGGTCTAAAACTTCTGATGGTTTGTTGGTGGGGTTTGGTTCTTAATCATTCCAGATGGTGGGGCAGCATTGGAGCCATGCCCAATTTCTGGTAATATGAACTATGACAACAAATTGAGGAAGGAGCCAGTTGAAACAACTCTAGAGGGAAATTCTAGCAATGGGCAATCTTTGTTTTCAGTGGCTGGAAACAAGCGTGTTCATGCTTCACTTAATGATAGTGTTGAAAATGGTATTGTGTTAGAGGTGAAAACAGCCAATGATACCATCCCAAGAAATTGTGAGAAGGAAGAAATGCATGGTGGGGAAGAAATGGTGTGTGGTCGGGCAAGAACTATTGATGAAGAGCTTAGAACTGATGAAACAGACACAAATCAGGTGGCACAATTGTCACCAGGCAGCCCTCCATCCTTTGGTGATTCCAAGGATTTTGATTGTAACACCAGTGATCCGGGCTGCAGTGATAGTGTAAGTCTTTGATTCTTGGTGCTTTGATAGTATTACAATTTCCTTCACTAAATGCATAATGCAGCTTAACCGTTGACTTCAAGGCCATGACCATCATTAGATGGAATCCATATTTGCCAGAGTGATATCCTTGTGCATACAGTGTTAGACTGTATTTTCTTGTATGAAATGCATATGCTGACATTGCATCTGTTCATGACATGCAATAAAGCCAAATATAGAAAAATGGGAAGGTGAATTCTATCTATGAATCAAAATATAGACATCTTGTGGTCAAATCGAAATTCCTGTGGCTGAAATTTAAGCTTTTGGGTCAATTAACCATCGCTATAGTAATATGTTCCTTTCATAAACTTATAAGGAATTGATTATTTTATGCCTCCCAAAAATCCAAAAGCTTAAGTTTCTCTTACGAACAGTGGAATGCTGGCATGGTTGTTGACTACTTGATGGCCTTTGTGTCATAATTTAGCCAACTAAATCAAACTACAGTCTGGTTTGCAAAATCTTCCACAATCAATCAATTTATTCTGTTCAGAGGACTAAGGGTGGGGCCAAATGATCAGGACTGCATAAGAGGTGGGATTTGGAAACCATTCATTAGTTTTGTCTACCATACTATGTAGTAGTTAGTTGTTAGGTTTATTTTTCATTCTAAGATTTTCAACAAAGTAAGTTATTTGCTTTCCAGACTGTGTTATGGCTTATTGATGAGCTTTCCATGCTTTAAAATTTATGGAATCTGAATGTTTTTTTGCTCAATTGATGTGAGTAGCTACTTGTGAAATGCATTAAATGAATTTGGTAAATTTTGACGCTTTGACTGGTTCTGTTTTTTTTTTTTTTTGCTTTATCAGAATATGGAAAAACAAAGAGCAAAGGGGTTAGTTGCGAACAACTTTGATTGTGCAGGAGATGAAATAAATGACATGCCAACCTCGGGAGCCAAATGTGGTACAAGAGATGCCAAGCGACAAAAAAGACCAAATTATGGGTTGTTTCAGATGGGTGTGAAAAGTGACAACCACACACAAGTGGTGGTTCTGCCACCCAAAAATGTAGCAACTTCCAATTGTGAATTGGAACCTAAATTTGGAGAAACCCTTATGTGTGGCCAGTCAAGTGTAATTTCGGATTCATCAGATGCAAATAAAAGCGTTTGTGGCTTTTGCCTGTCTTCTAAGTTCACAGATGTGAGTTATTGGACCTGAATTTGCATGTCATTCTTTTGTTAATACTATGGAGATTGTTGTGAGCATTGCCTTTGTGGAAAAAACACTTTAACGTATAACTATTTTCCATTCCTGGGTTTAATGGTTTTTTTATATGGAATGGATGCTTACAGGGTTCTGGACCGATGTTGCACTACGCCAACGGAAAGGAGGTCGTAGGAGAGGTGGCCACTCTCTCCAAGGTCCTACATGTTCACCAAAAGTGCATTGAATGGTATGTCAGCAAGGGGAATTAGTTTTCAAAATTCGAAGCTGTTCTTAACAACTTTGATATATCATGGCGTTTTATAGTTTGAGTCAATATATGTTGCTGAGAACTCGTAGGTGCATACCTTACTGGGTTTATAGAACCACTATATGGCAATTTGCACCTTGTTTGAATGCTTTAAACCCTTTTTATGCCCTGTTCTTCCATCTTGTTTTTCTTGTGTTGATAGGCTTGTGCCCTTGTACTCGCACTACAACCTTAAAGCTTGCCTAACAGGTGCTTTTTACCATCTAGCTTCTGATTGCAATGGTGGTGACAAAAAAATGAATTTAAGACAAGGATGCGAACAATCTTGAATGTATTTGGTTGAGGTTAGTTCTTGGAGTGAAATTCAGGATTATTTTTGAGGTTCTTTTTGAATCTTGGATTTGGAATATCTATATGGGAATGGTAGCTGATTTGGCCAATCCATGATGGACAACATATGATATCCTTGTTATGGCTTCTGATGAACTGATGAAGGGAAAAGTGGTTTTTGGCAGTGCTAAACTGAATGCTGATTTTGTTTGTTCCTTTCATTAGATTGATTGTATATGGATATTTGAGTTATCGTTTCCAATAATTGTTGTCGGTGGTCCTTATAATTACTTTGCAACTTCAGGACACCTCAAGTCTATTACGTGGATGAAACAATCAAGAATTTGGAGTCAGAATTGGCAAGGGCGGCAAAGCTGAAGTGTAGCAGTTGTGGTCTGAAGGGAGCAGCACTTGGCTGCTTTGTTAAGTCCTGCCGAAAAAGTTATCATGTGCCTTGTGCGTATGAGATCTTAGATTGTAGATGGGATACTGTGAGTTAGTTTTGTTATAAAAACAAGCTGTGTTTTGATTCTTATTATGTAGGCTCTTATTTTTCCTGTTTTCTCTGTTCTTTTAGTTATAACTTTCTTCTTTTTTATTTTTTATGAACAGGAGGACTTTCTAATGTTGTGTCCTGCTCATAAGTCTGCCAAATTTCCAAGAGAAAAGAAGTTTGGGAAGCATGACAGTGGAGAAAAGCATATGGTGTCAACTCAAAAGTATGAGCATTATGGCCCTTCATTTTGAATTGTGTTAGCCCACCACTCTAATGGATTTATAGAAGGCACTCAAAATAACTAAAGTAAATGTTCAGTGAAAGAAGCTAGCTTCATGTCAAAATTTGTTGCAAATCAATCGTTGTGTCGTTTCAAAAATTTGCGAGTGACCATTTGGTTATTTTAGTGCTGGGATATGGAAACAGATATTCCTACTTCCTTCTCCCCCTGCATGCAGGGCTATGCTGTACCTCCATTAGATTAAGCATTGCCATTGACATCACGCAATGTGTTAGTATTTGTTTCAATAGAACCTTTAAATAGCCATGCAGTAGCGGCAGAATACTTGTTTGTACACATGAGCAGTTGAAGATACAATAGTTCTCCAATTTTGGGTACTTGAAGGAAGCTTTATAATTTTGTATTCTAATTTCCTCGGGAGAATAATATTGGATTGACATTTTAGCTAAAGTTGCAGATTTCCCATTCTATCATTGGGTGCCTTTTTTATTTATTTATGAATATTTGGCTCACAAGGTTAGGCATTACTTAAAGCTACAGTGCTTGGGCCAATGTTGTGCCATTGTTAATACAGGTTCTCCAAGCAGTCAAACTTCAGTGCAACATTGCTTAATGGAGCAAGAGATTGGGTTTTTTGCGGATCTGCTCTTTCATCTGAAGAGAAGGTTTGTTTCACAAGAATAGTTTCCTGATATGTACAAGTTATCTGTGATGTGCATATTTTCTTGTGTAGTAGGTTCATATATAGACTGTTCAACTTTTTGAATAGGCAAAACTCAGTACCATCTGTTTTTTTTCAGATACGGTTTGCAGCTAACTAAACTCTACTGATTTGTCAGTGATTTCTGCTCAGAATTTTTAAATTAAAAGAGTTAGGTTTACTATTAGGATTCAGAATTTGAGTTCTGTATCTTATTCAGATTCCTTTTTCTAATAATCTTTGGTTGATACGTATTTTGACGATGTTGGGAGATGAAAATGAAAGGCAGCAGTTCTGTTGGAATTGTTTTCCATGACATCTATTGTGGAGATTTTTGACATTAACATCTTCCCAGTAGAAATACTTGTATGCAAATCTTTTTCTTCAGGTGGTAATTCTGAAGTATCCTAACTGTCCTTGGTTTGATATGTAGTATCTTCTGGTCAAGTTTGGAAGCATTTGTGGTGCAACTGTGACCAAGATTTGGAAACCAAATGTTACCCACGTGATTGCAGCCACAGATACAAATGGTGCATGCAGTAGGACATTGAAAGTTCTCATGGCTATTCTGAATGGAAGGTGGATCATTACAATGGACTGTAAGCTCCACTTATGCTTCTAACTTTTCTGCCTAGAGCGTATTAGGTTGCTTTTTTTTTCTTTTTGTTTTTGGCACTTCCATGCTAGAGATTTCTGAATCTTCTGCCTGCTGTTTCTAAGGAATGTAGTTATTTATAACTTTTCTCTCCTTTCATTGAGAATGAGGTGATGAAATTAATCCCAGAGTACATTTATCACATGTTGAATGGTCCTATCAGTGAAAAGGAAGGAAGAAAAAATTGCTCATGCATCTCTGTTGATTTTCATGGTGGATTTTAGTGAGTATTGTGCTGTTTTTTTTTTTTGCAGGGATAAAAGCTTGCATGGAAGCAAAACATCCTGTGGATGAAGAACTATATGAAGTTAGCTTAGACAACCACGGTTGTTGGGATGGACCCAAAACAGGCAGACTTAGGGCCTTAATCAATGTAAGTGCACAAAAGTATACAATAAAAGAATAGTATTTGTTAGACTGTATCAAACTTGACAAAATGGACCCTCAGAATCACCTTATTATCTACAAGTCTGGCACCTAGATGCCCGTCAGAGTACATATAGGTCAAAATTAGAACAATTTAAGATTCACATCTCTATCTGATGTTATCATGTTACTCAGGGACACTGGAAACAATATACATGTGCTAAGACTTTGATGTCAGACCATACCCAAGAATCTAGTTAAATTATACTCTGCTTGGGGCCTGGGGGTGATATTCCTGACTGGGATCTACAAAGTTGATCTGGTGGTACTGAGTTGTTGCTAGATATTCAGTGCCTTTGCTTGAGAATCATGATTTATTTTTGCATCCAACTATATTTTAGATTGTTTTTTGGCCTATTAGTTGAAGAGCCTTCAATTTGTTTTGCAGAAACCTAAGCTTTTCGGTGGCCTAAATTTCTATTTTGTTGCGGACTTTGTGCCAGCTTACAAGCATGACCTCTTAAATTTGGTACTAACAGCTGGTGGTACTGTTATTGAAAGAAAGGATCAGTTAATGGGACAAAGTCATGATGCCCACAGAACTCCATCAGCAACACTAGTAGTTTATAACCAGGATCCCCCACCGGGTTGCAAGCTGGGAGAAGAGGGTTCCATTTTGTTGCAGAGATCAGCAGCTGCACAGGATTTGGCTAATGAGATTGGATCCAAGGTCATTACGCACACGTGGATTTTGGAATCAATTGCTGCATGCAAGCTGCAGCCTTTACCATGTTAAGAAAATTGACATATTAATGTCAGGATCCTTTTTGCTTCAATCCCTTCATGTAAATTTATCCCTCTTTTGAATGATGATGAGATAAATCTAGTTCTTTTTTCCCTGGGGCTGCTTTATCTTGAATGTGTAATAAGGGTTCAATGTTAGCAAGTGATTTTTGTCTGCAATTTGTTGTGTAGTCTTACATTTCTTTTGGAGGAAGAACTTCATTTCCTTTTTGCCCGGAAAATGCTACACTTGATTTTTACAGCTTAGAAAGAGGGAAATGAAAATAATGCTTGAATCCTGAAGTTACAGACTCAACAAGCTGACAGGAGAATTCTACACAAACCACTCAAACTGTCAAGTGAAGGTTTACATTCCAGGCCAGTCTTGAAGCAAAAGAATGCTAATTTGACAAAGGGAAGGATTTTGCCAGCTTGTACAAGATTCCAAGAAGCAAACATGGTACAAGATTATTGTCAATTCACTAAATTCTTCAAGGAATTCTCATCTTGAGATGTAGGTTCCTTTGGCAAGGTCTCCATAGATTCCTGTAACTACCTCTGGGTGTAGTCAATGTTGTGTTATAAACAAAGAACTTTGCTACAACTATAAAGAAGAGAAAGTTGATAAAACTCAGGACAGCATAAAAAGCATAGTAATAGTCTAAATGAGAGATAGAGGTTGTCCAAAAGCCATCCCCTGTGGCCATTCTTCTTGGTGATATCTGCCACAGTTGACAGAAGAAAACTGCTCAGAAAGTACCCAACTCCAAAGCTGGTTGTGAAGTAGGCAGTTCCAAGGCTTTTCATGCCTTCGGGCGCTTGGTCATAGAAAAACTCAAGCTTTGCTACTTCCAAAAAGTTATCGGCAACCCCCATTAGAGCAAACTGAGGGAGAAGATTGAAGATCGAAAGAGGAACGATTTCTTTTTTCCCGAAAATCCCATTCTCTTTTGCGACACCAAGTCTTTTTCTTTCAGCAAAGCAAGCAATCAACATGATAATGACATGTAAAACAAGTCCAATCCCCATCCTTTGCAGCAATGTGATCCCTCTTGGATTGTTAGTGTACTGACGAATAGCCGGGACAAAGAACCGGTCATAGATCACGATGCTGATCAGCATGAAGATCGTCACAAACGCAGTGAGGCATGCTGGAGGGATTTCAAAGTGAGGACCCATGCTCCTGTTCAATGCGGTGCCTTGCTTGATGAAGAGTGTGTGTCTGTGCTAACATGGTGCTTGGAATGAATGTTGCTGCTAAAATGAGGAGCATTTTTAGCATTTGCTTTGTTTCTTCAACTTGGGTCACTGAGCATAGTGACCATGATGAACTTAGTCCACTCTTAATGGCTGCTTTGTCAAGGAGCCTGCAGGCGATGCAATGCAAGCCAAGAGACAATATGGTGAAAACAAGTTGGGATGAGTATGCTCAGATTTAGTTTAGTTGTGATTGGTGGAGTTTGAGCCCGACTCGAGTTCAACTGTTAAGCTTAAATTCTCGCTTAACCTTAGCTCTACAGAAAAGTTCAAAGTATTCGAGTCGAGCCGAAGCTAATAGTGGGCACAATTTCTCCACAAAACCATTACAAATTAAACTACATGTTATCAATCCTACAATAATAAAATTTTCAACAAAATAAAATCTAGTTAACCATAAGTAAAATTGTAGACATTTAACATCGAAAAAAATCAATTAGAGAATAGACTATATATGGATTAGAGCTATTTGGAGACAAGTTTGCAGTTGTTTGTATTTTCGATATAGATTGTTAAACAATGATATTATAATTATTTGTTGACATGAATTTATTTGAATTGCACCAAGCCCTATTCAAGTTGCAAGGTACTTGGATTCCGTGTATAAATGAACTTAAAAATCTGGTTAAATTCAATTTTTATTTTAATTTAAACGAATTATAATTAGGTTGAATTCGAACAAATTCTACGTATAATGAAAAATAAATATTTGGAACAAGAGAGACCAACTTTAATGAAGGGGTGTGGTCGATTCTGAACTTGCCAGAGTTGGAGTATTCATCCAAGCTTAGCTCATGAAGGTCTTTTGGATCATCAGGGAGACCACCTTCCATTTTCTCGCTGCGGCTACAAGCACCTTAGGCATTCTAGTCAATGGGCGTTTGTGTCTATAATAGGGTGAGCCCACCACGAACATAGCTATTGATACTCCAAGTCCGAGTGTTGGAGGGGCATAGCCCAAGGCCCAGCCCACATTGTCTTGTACGTATACTAAGAAGGTATTAGAGAAGAGGGTACCAAAGAAAATGCTAAACATCCACCAATTGAAGAAGGGGAGCTTATGGGTCCTCTCCTTGGGCTCGAAATCGTCGAATTGGTCCGCACCCATGGTTGAGATGTTGGGCTTGGTTCTGCCTGTTCTGATAGCAATTATGTACAATGCACAAATTAAAAAATACCAACTTGAAACGAGGACGACTCTTTGTCACAGTCTTCCGATTTCACGCTGTGCCCGCACGATGGAGGCCTCAGGGATGACACAGAAACTGCTAGTGTCAATAAGCACATTCACTGTAATAGAAAAGCTTATCTTTTTCAGATATGACACATATTTTTATTTTCTTGAATTTTTGATGGGTCGATGGGCCAAGCTCTACCGGCCAGGCTAACAGGTCGTTTGTAGGTAGCAATGTGGCCGACCACCTGGCCCATGACCCAATGGCCACTGAGGCAATCAAGGACCCCGCGGCCCATGAATCGTTTGCTGACATATTGGATTTTTTATGGTTCAGAACTTTGGTTTTAGTCATTACTCATAGTATATTGTTTATAGGATAAACAAAGCCACACGAAGGGCCTGGCCGGTCACTTTTTTACCGTTGGAAGAATAAAAGGCCGGAGACATAGCATGATTACAATTAAATTACGCCAAATTCAAACGAAAGAAGTCTTTCTCACAAGCAAATTGCTAGTTTATCGTAAGTATTGATCTGAAAAACCCAGACTCGAATCCCTCCACTGGACCACGATGAAAAAAGAGTCTTCCTGGAGCCCACGTGGTGTGTCGGTTTGTTTGGCAATTTTTATGCAGTGGAAATATTCATTTATATGTATGAGCATGTTTGAAATGAAATCTAAGGGCTATATATACCACGAGGTAAATTGCTGATGCGATCATGAAAGTCCAATAACGACCTATATAAGTGTCAGCAATATATGCGCCTAATATGGGAGTTATCCATACAGTGCCGATCCAGTTAGTGACACTATTTGATGATTTCACAGTGCCTTCATGTAGCTTGTTCCTCAAATATACCACAAGGTTTGATGCAATCCCGTAGTATGCCATCCTCTCAAAGACTTCATACCCTATATATGAAACTCCAAGAGAATTAGGGTAATGGGATATATCTTAGAAAGAAGTTCAAGTTCAACCGAAGAACAAGATTTTTAGTTTTTTTAGGATTTAAGGTTCTGAGTTTAGAGTTTCGGGTTGATATTAAATAATACGTTACTACTTACCTAGCATGAAGTAACAAGCTCTAAGCTCTCCATCTCCCTGTTTTGGATCTTAGGACGGGTCTACCCTTGAGATCTACAGTACCATCTTGTGTGTAATCGTCATCTCTTCCATCCACAGCTCCTTTCTCTTCTTCACAATATAGAGGTATATATCAACACAGTATATATCACCATTTCGTCTCTTTTTCTTGGATTTCCCTCTACATCATCGACCAAATTAAAATAAGCAACATTGTAAGCGACAAGAGGAACCTGGAGACAGTTCATAGGCTACAAGTTAATGAGAGAATAATTTTTGTGATGACGGACTCAAACCACTATCATTAAATAACAATACCAGTTGATTCTGCATGGATTAATGTAAGAAATTAAGGAAATAGTCTATTTATATCCATTTAACACCCACATCATCTACATTTACGATCCGACGACTAATCTTACAACTAAATCATAGTGAATATTTCGTCTATATCTATATTTTAACTACTAAGAAATTCTTCAAGCACTCTTTATACTTTAATCACAGTAAACATTTTAATCATGGAAAATACTATTTGGATCTAAAATTTGACATAATTTACTGACCTAATGACGTGGCTTTATTGAAACCATTATATTAACATCAAATTCCAATATTTGATGGAACCCACAGTCAATCCAAAGATCATTGTGAATTAAGTCTCAATAGCATTACTCTTTAATCATTTGCTAATATTTTGACCATTTAAAAAATGTATCCCACAAGAGTACTCTAGTCCCTGTAGTTATGATATAAGTTTTTTTTTTCCCGGAACGATAGTTATGATGCTGTTTCTATTTTTGTGATAGTATGAGGAAGAGGCACAGAAGATTATCTGTTGATGAATCAGAATATATACATATATATAATCTTGGTACAGATATGGAAGAAGATGAAAAATGCTTAAGCAGCTGAAGAAAGGGACAGAGTGGATTGGTCATTTTGACGCATTATATGTGGTTTTGAAAGTGATTCTAAATCTCGAGATATCATGGATTTGGATTTAAGTGTAAGAATATATGATTCGATTGCCATTTGATTTGTACTATATATTTGTATATTATCTAACTTACTAGTTATTACTTGTGTCTAAAATTACGTAGTAATAAAAAAAAATGGTCAATAATAAATATATTTATGTTAATATTAAAAATTAAATCATAAATAGAGAGGAGAGAGAAACAAAATTTAAATCCCAATTGTAATAGGGGTGAACAGTGGTAGTGGTGGTACGTGACAGTGGTGGTGGTGATAGTTGTGGTGGGTGGTGACGATTGTGGTAATAGTGGCAGCCATGGGTAGCAACGGTGACGGTGGTTGTTGGTTTTGGGTGACAATGGTGGTAGTGTAAGTTATGGGTGACGATAGTAATAATGGTAGTTATGGGTGACGACGGTGATGGTAGTTGGTAATGGTGGTGGTGGTGGGCGACGACGGGTTATTTTGGGCAATAATGTGATGAGTGGTGGCGAATAAGGGCGGTGGTAGGTGTGGTGGGTGTGAATGATAGTGGGTGTCGATAGTGGTGGGGTGATGGCGGTGGTGGTGGCGACGGTGATGGTGGGGTGACGGGGTTGATATAATATAATGTTGGTACAGATATGGAAGAAGATGAAAAATGCTTAAGCAGCTGGAGAAAGGGACAGAGTGGATTGATCATTTTGACGCATTATATGTGGTTTTGTAAGTGATTCTAAACCTCGAGATACCATGGATTTGGATTTAAGTGTATTAATATATGATTCGATTGTCATTTGATTTGTACTATATATTTTTATATTATCTAACTTATATAATGAATCGATTGGCTATGAGTAATACTATTTGAACCTAAAAATTTGACCTAATTTGTTGACATAATGATGTAGTTTCAGAAGAACCATTAGATCAACACCAAATTTTAATGTTTGATGGGCTCCATAGTCAATTCAAATGTTATAGTGAATTAGGTCAGTAAATTAGACCCAATAATATTGCTCATTGACTATTTTATGAAATCGAAATGATACTTAGAGAAAATTTGTTGAAATTTAGTTCCAAGGGAATTAAATTTGAAATGATATGCTCATTCTTGTCGCCTCTTTTAGAAAAGGAGGATCCCCAAAAGACAAAAGGAGGGGATAAGTGTGTGACATTCGACAATGAAAAGGCTTATAGAACAAGACAATCTATAGAAATGATAATTAAGTCTCAGGTCGGTAAAAATAATTTTTATTTTTATTTTTCAACTAATAAAAAAAAAAAAGTTAATTAGGCTAGAATTCCTCATTTAATTTGTAAACCAATTTTAGTTCAATCGCATTTTTAGTATAGAGAAAGGACCTCAGTGTATTAGAAAAATGGGATGTGGTCACTATGCAAGCGCATATGTGGCCGGTTGGATTTTTAGTGGATTTTCATTACGTATTTTATCTTTATAACGTGATTTTAGCCTAAAATATGGTTAGTTTTTCTCTCTTTTATGTTTTTGTGTATATATATAGGCCTGTGTGTGCACCTACTTGCTCATTTGAACACAAACACTGTTTGTGTGAAGATCGATTGTCCAAGAAAAGGAGGTGATCTCACTCTTAGCTCTCTCTCTCTCTCTCTCCAGAAAACATTACAGTAAATCTATACTATTTATAAATGTCATCGTGTGATAAAATTTTAATTTTCTATTTTACCCTTAATTATTATCATAAATTTAGTTATGCCCACATATTTTCCTGTCTTTCATACATACTTGACTTCCAAAATATTAGCTAGATAAACTTTATCTTTATGACTTGATAGATAAATTTTATCAAAATATTACCTAAATAAACTTTATCAAAATATTAGTTAGATAAACTTTATCTCTATGACTTGATAGATAAACTTTATTTCTATGACAATACATTCTTTCTTTTCCATTCAATTATACAAACTCTACTATAATTATAATACCATTTTTTGGTAATTTTTAGGTGATACATATAAATATATTTTTTTGTCTTTCCTACTTATTAGATTTTTAAAATATTTTGAATTCCTTTATATATATATTTTATCTCTATGACAATACATTCTTTTTTTTTTCATTTAATTGTACAAACTCTGCTAGAATTTTAATACCACATATTGATAATTTTTAGGTAATATATATACATATATTTTTTCTTCCATTCACGTTAGAGTTAAAAGTTGGTCTGTCATAGTCATTTATTTGAAGTCCTATGGTCTCATGTTCTTCCGTGACAAACTTAATGAAGTCGAAGTTGGAGTTTTTGACATAATTGAGGTTAGTTTATCATTTCCTCTGTTTTAGTTTATTAATTCATATATTTTGTGGCACTTAATTTTTTTTTTAATTTAATGTCAAACAGTTTTCTAAGAGATTGGTGTGGTAAGTCAAGTATTCGGCATAATAATTGAGGTTAGTTTATTAATTCTTATGTTTTAGTTTATTAAATTGGCGTGCAGGTCGAATATTCAGCATAATTGAAGTTAATTTATTAATTCATATGTTTTACTGTTTTAGTTTATTAATTTCTATGCTTACGTTAAAATTTTCTATATTAGTGTTTCTTTATTTTATTATAACCTCTCATAAATCTAATTTTTCATTGCTCATTTAACTAATATTTTGAAAACTTGTCCAAATCTTAATATTCTGTAATCAAATTTATTAAACTTAATTTTTCATTGCTCATATTTTATTATAGCATTATAAATAAAAATTGTATGTTATAAAAATTTGTTATTCTAACTATAAGAAAAAATATTTAAAAAAATAGTTAAAGTTAGGTACCACACCCAAAAAAAAATTGTTAATGTACTGTGTATCATGTTTTTGAGTATTTTTATACATATCATGTTTTTCAATATTTTTATCGTTTATTGGCTGAAATTTATCAAATTTTGATGTTAAAAGATTAAGTGCCTTTTTTTTTGGTATTTTAATTATTCACTTACCTTTACAAAAAAAAAAACATAATTCAATTATATTACTTATCAACTTTGTATTTCAAATAAATTTAATAATAAATTAATAAACTAATTTTTTTTCACGTGCAACACAAGTGTGTATTGTTAATCCAAACAAATATCTAAACGCAAATGGGTGGAGTGGTGAGGTGATAAACTTAAGCCGTCAAAGAATTTATTTCAATTATTCTTAGATTCAGGTGGATTTGGTCTCATTTTCCTTTATCTTTGTCTGATATTTACATGTTTCTACACGAGCACACAA